TGGTCATTCATATTTTTATTAAAGAAGCAAATAGATTGGTTACATGTAAATATACAAACTACTTGCTGGGGGAAGTACGTATTGTCCCAGAAACTCATATGCATGACTAAGAAAAGTTATTCTTTGATTTAATCACGAAAATAAATTGTTTGTATGGTCAACAAAGTTCTAAACAGAAAGACAATAGGTTGAAGCTTATAATCAATTTGACAAAGCAATTCTCAAAAGTCCATTCCAAATCAATCACATTATTACGGTGCAGGTGGGATTGGATACCAGTTCGCTTAACTCATGTCTTAGCTTTTTGTCAAAAATATCTTTTTCCAATCCGTGGTCGAGAGCGCCGTTACCCATATAATTTCTTATATAATGCACATTTGCACAAAGATACTCTAGCCGTCAATGGACCGCAAAAGTTGGACACCGTATCCATTGCACAAATAAAAAACAGACCCCCCAAGTTCATCATATGTACTTTGAAAGGCTTCTCCAAGGTAATACTAAGAGACAAATAGTCAGAACTCTCTAAATATAAGAAGCAATATGTAAATTAATTACTGACATTAATGTAGAAATGTTCACAAATGAGAAATTTTCAAAAAAAAGCTTGTACAACGCTGTCACCCCGTCTGAGAAGACTTAGAATGTGAGGAGCACATTAAAGGACTAAAGGTACCTTCTTTTGTTTACAGAAGACTAAGGGGCAGACCATTATTGAAGTATAAGTCAAGTCTGACGCAACTGCTATGACGCCAGGGGCTTATTTGAGATACAAGAAGATGATAGAATAAGAAGGTAATGACTTTAAAAGACTTAAGAAACAGGGATGCCGTAGGGATGATTTCGAAAAAATTTTCCAGTCTGAGGATTGCCGGCATTTTGGAATACTAATTACCCAAACAGCAGACAATGCAATTCTTTTGTGTTTATTTAAAATAGAAGAGTTGAGATATATAAGATGTCTATTTCTGACGTAGGGTAGCGATGACATAACGAGATCAATATCTAATGAAAAAATTTAATAGACTGCGAAGAAAACTACAGGCACCAGTGGATTTGACAGAAAAAACTAGTAATCATTGTTAGAAATTGTTATAGCAAGTTATGAGGTGTGCATGTATTTAAGAGAAAAACGTCAAGTCACTGTTGTTAACTATGAGAATAAATTCTCTGGTCACTGAGCCGATGTGACAAAAAGCCCAACACATTTAAATATTATTTGAGAGTAGTCTCTATGAGCATTTAGAATAATGATGAGAGCAAAAGTATCGTATAGATTGAGCTCTTAGACATTTTGAAATAAATTTTATGGAGCTGTGACCAAAAAAATCACACTTAGCTAAATTTGGAAATTTTCTATTAATATAACAAATTCTTAGAAAGAATATGTTCACTACGAGTAGAGCAGATCTAGCTTTTCTTCTTTTTATTATGATGATTATTGGTTATTATGTTAGGAATATTATGAAGAGAGCGAATTTAATGTGAGTACCATATTTGTTATTGCTGCACTAAAACGATAAATCAATCGGGACGATTGTACGGTTAGTTCTCTTGCTGCTATAATAGATTCCAATTCAACTTACGATTGTTATAGCTGTCGAACAATAGTAATACAACAAGACTTCTACATGAGTGGTGAGGGAGCACTTCATCGAAACTTGATAATTCCTCTTTCGTGTCATTCCTAAAGAAAGATGCACCCCTGGAACGAAGCAAAGTTCAATGGCTTGGCTAACGAGAGAATTTTTGTATGTCAGTATGCGTGTGTTTATGCACAAATTATCATTGTATGGAGACACTCATTGTCATCTGTCACGCTGAGTCTACAGTTGCCAGTACAGTGAAACAGACAAGCCAAACCCATGAACCTTCTTAAAGTTTTGACAGCCGTTTATAAAAATTTTACTCTGTAATAATCCTACCTTCGTGGGCAGGTTATCTTGTTGATAAGATAGGTGTGCAATAGATCTTTTGTAGAGATACCTAGTTTTTGTTGTCAAGAATTGAAACATATAACTAGGAATAGTCAGCGGTTCATCAGCATTTGCAATAAGGACTCTGTTTTTTCTCCCGTTGAGATTGTATTATTCCTCCACTTGGTGGTGTACGTGAATGTAAAAATGGTTCCTAAGAATTTCTATTCAAGATATGGTACATGTCTGTGAACAAGTGAACAGATCGAAAATCGTCGGGTGAGCAGTCTATCTCCGACGAGGTGGAGTTAGGGGACAGTCTGATCATAGTGCTACTGTTGCCGTTGTCTATTTAGCATGGGGTTGTTAAATAGTATTTTCAAATGAATTTTCCACAAGAGGTTCTTTTGTCAAAATATGATGATAATGTTTTCTTTGAGTAATGGTGGCCTTCTGTTAGGAAACCTGCCTGAATAACGGCATCCACGAGACTGAGAAAAGAGCTTTACGACGATTATTTGGGTAAGATGACGAGACGCGCATACAGACGGCTTATGAGGGGGCGCTGTAAGTATAAGGGAATTTTTCCTTACTTTAGGATCTTATGCAGAAGCTAGCCTAGGAATAGTATTTATTCAAAGCTGAACGCGAAAGTACAGTAGGAGAAAATCTAGAGAACAATTTAATTTAAGATTATTAGCTGATAATCTACAGTAAACCGCTGAAAAAATTATTTTTTCAATACCATCCTAAGCATAATTGAGAACATATTCAGAGCAAGACAGTAAGTACAGTACAGCACAGCACAGTACAGCACAGTACAGTACAGTAAAGTACAGTACAAGTACAGTACAGTGCAGTATAAGTGCAGTAGCGTTCCGTACAGTACAGTACAAGTACAGTACAGTACAGTACAGTACAGTACAGTACCAGGTAGCAGTACAGTACAGTGGCAGTAAATGTGCAGTACAGGTTACAGTACGTACAGACAGTAACAGACAGTGCAGTAAAGTGCAGTACATGTACACGTACAGTACAGTAGTACAGTACAGTACATACAGTGCAGCTAAAGTGGCAGTACAGTACAGTACAGTACAGTACAGTAACAGCCTCGAAGTACAGCCAGTACAGTACAGGTACAGTAACAGACGTACAAGTATATATACAGACAGTGCAGTTAACAGTGGCAGTAAAGGTGCAGTACAGTACAGACAGTACAGTACAGTACAGTACAGTACAGTACAGTACAGTACAGTACAGTAAAAGTGCAGTAAGTGCAGTACAGAGTACAGTACTAGTACAGTACAGTAAAGTCAGTACAGTACAGTACAGTACAAGTAAAGTCAGTACAGTACAGTACAGTAACAGTACAGTACAGTACAGTACAGTACCAGTACATACGTAATACATAGTACAGTTACAGTACAGTACAGTACAGTAACAGTAAGTACAGTACAGTACATGTGCAGTAAGAGTGCAGTACGGTCAGTACAGTACAGTACAGTGCATGTAAAGTGCAGTACAGTACAGTAAGTCAGTGCAGTACATTACAGTTACAGTACAGTACAGTACAGTCACAGTAACAGTAACAGTACAGTACAGTAGTACAGTACAGTGAATAAGCAGTACAGTACAGTTACAGTAAGTGCATAAGTACAGACAGTACAGTACAGTACAGTACAGTACAGTACTACAGTACAGTACAGTAGAAGTACAGTACAGTACAGTACAGTACAGTAACAGTGCAGTAAAGGTTCAGTAAACAGTAAGTACAGTACAGAGTAAAGTCAGTACAGTACAAGGACAGTACAGTACAGTACAGTACAGTTACAGTACAGTACAGTACAGTACAGTGTCAGTAAAGTGCAGTACAGTACAGTTACAGTAGCAGTGCAGTAAAAGTGCAGTAACAGTACAGTACAGTACAGTGCAGTAAAGTTCAGTACAGTACAAGTACATGTACAGTGCAGTAGAGTGCAGTACAGTACAGTAAACAGTGCAGTAAAGTGCAGTACAGTACAGTACAGTACAAGCAGTACAGTAATACAGTACAGTACAGTACACAGTACAGTATCAGTACAGTAAGTACAGTACAGTACAGTACAGTACAGTACAGTACAGTAGCAGTACAGTACAGTCAGTGAAGCAGTAAAGTGGCAGTACAGTACAGGTACAAGTACAGTACAGTGCAGTAAAGGCAGTACAGTACAGTACAGTACAGTGCAGTAAATGCAGTACAGTACAGTACAGTACAGTCAGTACATGTAAGTACTAGTACAGTACGTACAGTACAGTACAGTAGAAGTGCGTACAGTACAGTACAATGTACAGTAGCAGTTAAAGTGCAGTACAGTACAGTACAGTACAGTACAGTAGCAGTACAGTAAAGTGCAGTACTCAGTACAGTACAGTACAGTACAGTACAGTACAGTCAGTACAGTACAGTACAGTCAGTACAGTACAGTACAAGTCATAAGACAGTGCAGTAAGTGCAGTACATACGTACAGTACACAGTACAGTCAGTACAAAGTACAGTGACAGTAAAGTGCAGTTACAGCTACAGTGACAGTACAGTAGCAGTAAGTTACAAGTGCCAGTAAGTGCAGTACAGTACAGTACAGTGCAGTAAGTGCAGTACAGTACAAGTACAGTACAGTACAGTACAGTACAGTACGTACAGTACAGTACAGTTACAGTACAGGTACAGTACAGTACAGTACATATCCAGTACAGTAACAGTACAGTACAGTTGCAGTAAAGTGCAGTTACAGTACAGTACAGTGCAGTAAAGTTGCAGTACAGTACATGTTAACTACAAGTGCAGTAACAAGTACAGTACAGTAACAGTTACAGTGCAGTAAAGTGCAGTACAGTACAGTTACAGTACAGTACATGTACAGTACCAGTGCACGGTGCAGTAAAGTAGCAGTACAGTAACAGTACAGTATCATGTACAGTGCAGTAAAGTGCAAGTACAGTACAGTACATGTACAGTGCAGTAAAATGCAGTACAAGTACAGTTACAGTACAGTACATGTACAGTACAGTACAAGTACAGTACAGTACGTACAGTGCAGTAAAGTGCAGTACCAGTACAGTACAGTACAGTGCAGTAAAGTGCAATGTAGGATTTCTTTTGATCTTTGAATTGCTATCCTGCTGATGTAAAATTTTATGTTTTATTTTGTTTATGCATTTTCAGTGGAAAATACAAATGAGACAAGGGCACAGCCTACGTTGTTTATGAAGATTTTTCGATGCAAAGAATGCCTGTGACACTTATCAGGCTTTAATGTCTGCAACAGATACCTCATTGTACTATATTACCAACCAAAACAAGGTAAGTCCTTTGAGCAAAATTGCAAGAAAAGGCAAAACCACACAGCCCTCTGAAAGTACTTCAATGTCCAACGTTCCTCATAGCATTGAAACCTGTACAAAATGGCTTGATATACTGTTCATTAACGTTGCCACATTTGATGAATTTGTGCTGCTCCTTTCGATGTTTTCTGTCTAATTATTTTTCACTACTTCATAGTCTCCCTTGCTTCTTATTCTCGCCTGCATACAGACTCTAAAATCTCTGACTAGAACTCTAACTTATTCTGCTTCATTCTAATTGTTCAATAGACGTTCAAAGACAGAAGATACTTTCGTAGCAAAATTGCATGCGAGATTTGCCACAAAAATATCCGATTGCAATTTTATTTGTTTGGTTCTTGACTGAAACAGAACAGATAATCTATCTTTTCAGTCGACATAGTTTGCTGCGACTTACCTTTTTTTCTTAAAATCTCTTCTGTAAACCTGTTTCACACTTTGTGAACTTGCCAAGGCGTAATCAGCGAAATCGTGCGAAGGAGTCTGTCTGGTCTTGTTCTCTAAACTTTTTTGTGGATTAATCATCAACATAGCAATGTATTATTTCAACATTTTATTTTTGTCCTTCTTATGGTAAAAATTTATCTTGTGTTGTACAAAAAGTATTGGAGAAGTCCTGTGTTATTCAAATAATTTAAGAGAATTTGTTTCTCACATTTTCCAAGGCTATTTTTTATTCTCAAACGAAATTTCGCCAAACATTTCCCAAGCAAATCAACCCCCATTCAATAGTTTGCAATAGAGTCATTCTTCATGGGTTTCTTTTCTATTATGTTGCATTGCAAGAAAATGAGGTTATTCAAGGGATGTTTTCTGTCCGAGGGATAATTACATTTAACTCTGTGGTCTAAAGTAGCTTTCTCTCGCACTTCCTTTATCTTAAGAGAAAACTAGTTCAACAAAATGCTCCACCTTTTTACACATATTTTGATACTTTCTTTTTCGTGGTTTTTCAAGTCGTAGGAGAGAAAATGTCACGTGACTATCACTCAAGAGCGAGAGCAGAAAGTGCAAATGGCCTCTGCCTTATCAGAGCCTCTAAAAACGTAGCAATTTTCTAATTCATGTCTTTATTTTTCGAGAAACAGAAGCTGACAACATCTTTATTAGAACTGTTAAATTAATATTTGGCGGTTCTGAACGCCAAATCAAACTTAAAACCGGCATGGTTGGATCAAAAGATCAGGGGGAAAACACACACGAAAATATGAGATGCTTTCATGTCTCCTTTTGAAAGCTAAGGACAAGTCTTGAAAAGATTTGTGAAGCTGAAAATTGTTCTTAAGTGTAAATTGAGATACTATATATAGCGAATATGAACCACTTTGAGATAAAATCAAATCTGAACCAAATTATGATATTTAAAAAGTTGAAACTGATACAGAAGCAAATGGGCAAGCTTTTCCTGGTATCTTTGCTGCCTAAATGGAAACCATTCTAGAAAGAGGAAATATATGATGTTGCTGGGCAGTGTCCTTCGCTGCAGCCAGCCAGTTTCCAAGTGATAGGCTCTTATATAGCAAACATATTTTTCAACTTTCTGTCACATTTGATGTTTAGAAATGAAGCACCACCTTCTTTAGCACGTTCGCTATTCAGTCATCCACAGCTGGGTTGAATAAACAGCTGGAGCAAATCGTGTGACATAATTGCAGCATATAATGATTTAGCACGAATGCTAAGTTACATGTCTCAAAATGTTTATCAGTCTTCTTGATGTACCGCCTACAGTGGCGCCTGCCTGCACTTTCGCAGGAACTGTAAATTGCTTAAAATTATCTTCTGGCTTTGAGGAATTCGAGTACTGTAGCAAAAAGCCTGCGCATGTCTGAGATGAAATGACCGCTTTAGTCTGTGCATTGCATCAAAATCTTAAACTTAAACTGGGTTTTAAAGACTTTTGATTTAATCTTTTACTCATAATTTCGATTCATCAATTGTAGATGTACCAGAAAATGGACAAAGATAAGAAAAAGGAGAGTATAGAGACACTGAAGGCAAAGTACGGAGTCACAGGCGAGAAGAACTGAACAGTTACCAAGCAGAATTGAGATGAATATATTGCAATGCCAAGGGACTTTTTCGGGGTCTTTCAATGCATTTCGTCGACTTCAATCGCAGGAGCATCTAAAGCTATCGTCAGACAGTTAAGAATTGTGTATGAAGAATTCATGACATGGTGTATTTGCCAGTTAACAAAGGACGTCACAGAAATACCAAGTGAATATGTATCAGACCGGTTTCATCTGTACCTTCTGTAATTACTCTGTATAATTTATCTCAGTTGCAATAATTTCTAATGGTTTACCTTACGAAGTTTCTAACTGTAGTAATATTATTTGTGTTATTTTTTCTGCTTTGAGTTTCCTGGCAAAAACTTGCTTAAATATTTCAGGTAGTTCGTCATTAGTGATTTTTAACAAACAAGGGTCTTCTGTGACACGTGAGATAATCGGTATTTTATTCATTTTGCATGTTTGTTTGCGGCTGTTCAAAATCCATGATGAAGGAAAGTGGAGATTTTCTGACTTAATAGATTTATACTTTATCAGCACATTCAATCTTGTCAATAAATTAGCGTTAATACCATTACTTTCAATATCTTGAAGGGCCCATGGCTTTTGTGCTACCTCACTGATACCTCTCTGAGACGAATTCAGTGCCAATGCGAAGAAAGCTGAAAACTCAAAGTAGAGATCCTCGGAATGCACATCCAGAAATTATATCTAACTGATTTATAAATATGCACTGTGTTCAGATTTTGGCACTTGACATTTTTATTTAGAAGACAGCGTAAGAGTGTCAAAGAGCTTGTAGAGTTAATTTCCAAATGAAGGCCAAGTTTCATGCCACTGTCTCAGTCACCGTCAGAAAATCACTTTTCTTAATGGAAATTCAGCTGGCTTTGCCAATAGAAAATTTTCGGACAACCTTGATAAGGAAAAATTGGTTCAGGCGAGGATAAACCTGGTTCACAATTTTTATGCAACATTTCTTGTCAAAGTTTTCGGAAGAAGTGGAAGGAAACCCTTGATAAGAAAATGCACTGACTGAAATTCAAGAGCTAATAGAAACATTTGTAGCACAAGGGTGAGACGTTCAGCGCAATCTCGTGCCTTATGTCATTTTTATAAGCAACAGTATGTCGAAAAAGACATTATGAAAAGTCATTTCAATGTTGCGCAATGCCCTTGTCGACTAATGGTTCAGTATGTAAATAAAAAAGGCTAAAAGATAAAATGAACTACAGGCAAGATTGGTAAATCAGATTGCTCGAATTACCAAAGCAAAACCTCCAAAATGTATTATTTTTCTTCGATGTAAATCGCTCCTATATTTCTTCAAAATACCAATTTGAACCTTATAAGAACATTTCAACAATTTTTCAAATGAATTTAATATGCCAAAACTGCAAAATAATTGGCTTTTGTTACAGAGGTGCCCTCTCCATTGTCAGTTGTTTATTGAAAGAGCTCCTCCTTAAAAAATTCCCTATTTGCGAATTTACTTGAAATAAGCTTAGCTATGAACTTGAACTTGACTTGTTCTTCCAAAGACGGGGATTTCGAAAAACCGGGTTTATACCGTTTTGCCCCCTTTTTAGGAACAGTCCTTTTCATGAGTACCAGCAGTTGAAGTTTAGGCTTGCTGTTCTTCAATTTTCATATAATTTTAGGCTCCACTGTTCTTAACTTTTTAAAGAAAATTGGGGTGCTTAGAAGGAGTTTTCCGGGCTCATTTGCCATTATTATCATCATTATTATTATAAACAATTTCTTTTACGTTGGCAAGAAAGAACAAAAAATATATAGCTAATAAGCTAACAAAATAATTTAACGCCAACAAAATAATTTGAAACCTACTTTACGATGTCCATACTAAACCTACAAAAACCCTAGATAATTAATGAAAAGTAAGTGCGCCAAACCGTTCATTATTTGTCGACAAGCTTAAAATTTCATTGAAAAATCACCCCTAGATGGTAAAAAACGAATTTTCAATGGGTTTCACATTCACAATATGGTTCAAAATTACATTTTATAGTAACTCAGCATCAGATGTTGGCCAATTTCGAGGCTTGACTTCATTCACAAAGTTATAAATTGTTTTTAAAAAGACATGAAGGCACTGCGGAAAAGGGGGCTATGGCCCTCGCTTTGGACAAAAAACCTAAAGAATGGACCACCAGCAAGCCCCTATTTATTCGGTTTTAGTCCCCCTTTTCTAAACGCTCCGCGGTGCCTGTTTTTTCTCTGCTTCTTTCTCAGAAAGGGACAACATTCAAGCATTATAATTTTACGCAAAGAAAACAGCTTTATCATGCCAGATATAGCAAATCTTTTCAGGGCCGGCGAAACGTAGAGTGGAGGGACCAAAAAATCAAGGTTATGAAAGGTATGAGGAAAGGCCACCATGGGCCACCATGGTTGGCGGCAAGAAAAATTTTAGAAATATGATATCTAAGATATGGCCAAAAACAGTATCTAAAATGGATTTTGACTGAAGGAAATTCCGAGGAAATATTTTCAAGCTTTCTTTTATGAATGTGACGCATAATTTCATGTAATAGGACAGTTTTCGCAAATTTTTGGAATAACCTTTTAATTGTAGCTCGTAATCAAGCTTTTTAGATATAAAAGGGAGCCAAGATGAAATGGATGAGAAAATAAATGAATCAAGCTTTAACAAAACCATCAACATTGAAATATCAAAAGAATCACTTTCAACTCAAAATGAAAGATTATGCAACAAAAATTCTTCATTACTCATATTCTCAAAAATTTTCTTTCCAGCAGTTTCTTTTCCTTCAACAATTTTTTGAGAAACTTCCCGTCAACAAATAGACCTTGGAAGCGAAGTTTAGGCTCTAGAAAAAACAAGACTTCATCATTTGGTGCAGGCAACAAAGTCTTTCTGAATCAGTTTTCTCGATCTATTCCCTTAGCCAAATTCCCATTTTCAATTTTCCATTCGCATTTTCAATTTTCTGTTTGTCTTCTTTGGTAAATACATAGTTACCAAACTTAATCTAAGGTCATTTTTAGAATATTACTTAGTAAACTTACTTACAGAATGGTAGACTAGATTTCTTTCCGCTTTGCCTAAAGAAATTATTTTGCTATCCAGAAAATTGGAGAGGCCATGTCCCCCTGTTTCGCTGGCCCTGCTTTTCTGTCAAAAAAAAATGGACAAGATTGTTTGACATGAGCGAGTAATGTGGCGGTTCCTGCGAAGGAATTTCCCTCCTTTGTATGGCTTCAGGATAACTTGGTGTTGCACTGACATCCGTGGTCACTCCTCGCAGATTCTTTCGTCTGGAAAGGCCAAAGTTTGTTCATTTGGAAGGCCTGTTCCGTGTGCCAGGCATTGAAGATTGCAACAATGTTGTGGTTCATTTTAAACATGGTTGCATATGTGATGCGGAAGTTTCGGAGGGAGCCAAGAAGAGCAGCGTTAATAGAGACAGATGGTTTCCCAGTTTCTGATGGAAGGGCAGGTTACAAAGGCCACTGGAGGTCACCTGGAAAACGAGCTACGCCGAGGAAAGGTTTCTCAAATGAGCCTCCCGAATCCTTTTTCACAAGAACTGGGCCTGGAAGAAAACTACGGCGAGAATCGTTTGTGAATGTTGAAGGAACAGGCAAGTCGATTGCTGTCCTCACCAGTGGAGGGGATGCCCAGGGTAAGTCCGGCATGTTTTGATGCTGTCCTTTGTTTTTCTAGCAGGCAGGTCGTTTTTGCACACCTGTTTTAGGGCTGCTACAATATTTTTGTGTAATTTTAATGGGAGATAATAAAAACTTCTTTCCATTAATCCAGTCTGCATAGTATATATACGTCATGTAGCACATCAGTTCAGTTTTGTAATTTAAAATTTCACTACCTTTCAATTCAACATGCAAAAGCTAAACAAATCTACTTTACACCAATAAGTGGAGCAAAACTGAAATTAACACACTGCTAGATTACCTAATAACAGCAATGGTTCCATAATATTTATAAAGTCAAGTTAGGAAAATCTATGGAAGCAAGAAGATTGTAAGTGAGGGAATTCCTTAAGGAGAATTTCTCTCAGTAGCTAGAAGCTAATCGAGGAAAAGGCATCCCCTGTTTTGAAGATAATTATTGAAAATAGTTGATATTTTAGGAGTTTATATAAGGTTGCAAATATGTTAGCACTCCTATGGTTGATAGTTGTTTTCAAAGTGAAATGCTTTGAGTTTTCTACCAGAGCTATTGATTTCTAAAGAAATGTTGTTCCAGCATTGGGCTCCATGATCACACTTTTCTCAGACATGTTGCAGGGTATTTTTCTGCAGGGCAATTTTTGTGTGACTGACCTTTGTCTTGTATCTCCCTAGCACATGCTTTGCAGACTGGTATCAGGAAAAGGAGTCCAAAAATTGCTATAATAACAGAGCAATCACTTTGACATAAGCAAAACTATCATATAAGCCAACTGAATCACAGTTTTATTTCAATTCAATCATAACCAAAATTTTCTTTATGACTACAAGAATTTACTTAGTAACAAAATCTTGTTTACAAAACTGGTAGACTTTCCAGAAGTTTTTGAAAATTTGGTTATGTTTGCAGATGACCTTAATTTTAAACTTTTTATATCAAATAAAACATTAATTTCTTGAAAAATAGATTTTTTAAGCTCTTTGTGATAAGAAGTAATCCTATTTTTTTTAAAAAGGAATCTGGTATAAAGTCATATGCAACTCTTTTGCTTGTTAGATATTTCCCTCAAATTTAGCCACCAAAAACATTTCTTAGAATTTTATTATCACACTATGGTTCTCTACAGGGGGCTTGACAAACATAGTTCCTGTTTGTCCTACAGCTGAAAACAAAATTAAGCCAATCACTATTGTTCTGTTTTCAAATGCAGCTTTCACCAGGAAGTAATTTGTCCTGCCTTTTCAAATGTATGCAGGCCTGGCCGTTTGTACTTTTATAGGTGAGCTGTGAATCGCTCCCCTCATTTGCTGAGGGGAGCTAAATCAGTAACACATAGAATGTACTTTAAAGACAATCGACAGATGACTTAATAAGCCCCTTTAGTATCTGTCGGTTGCCTTAATGTAATAGCCTCAGTCAGGAGTGTGCTGTTTTACTTCTTTCAATTTGTATTTGCTTTAACCGTGACTTAGGCACCCCCTTTACTTGAAGTATTTAAAAGAACAGACTCTTTCAGTTTCATGTAAAGCTGGCACAACACAAAAACAACAATTCTCTTGCAAAACAATCTTTTTGTTGTACAGAATTTGAAAATGGCTTTGAAAAAAATTTTTAAAACAAGCTGAAGTTATACGTCTAGCACTCTTCAGAGAATAAAACGTCAGAACAAAGATGAAAAACTTTACGCAAAAATACCCAGTTTTGGATCGAAATAGGCCAATCAGAAAGCGCGAGCACATGACTGTTGAGGTTGTCCAATCAGTGCCGCTTTCCTATTGAAAATGTTACCAACGGAGTCCTAAGGTGAAAACGAACTCACTTATGTCTACACAAAAGCGATTGGTCATGTTTATATAGTAGATAGATTCACAAACTGCTAGATGGAACGATGATCAGGCTTTGCCAGTGATGCCAAACATGTTGCCGTTATAGTATTCACCCAATCTGGGTTTTTCAGTAAATGCCGCTGGATAGTGGAATTCCATGTTTTGGTTGTCGTTTTTGATCTGCAAGGCAGAGTACCTTGTTCTCTTTGAGGGATAGTTTTGTTTCTATTGCTGGAAGGGACCTGCTGTCTTATTATATCCCCAATCTACAATTCCTACCAATTTCTTCGACTTTCCTTCCAAAAATATTCCTGTTTTCTTAAGATTGAAAGGTTCTAATCGCTACAAACGTACCTTTCGGTTAACTATCTTTTCCCAAATAGATCGAAGTTTATGCCTATCATAACAAAAACCGCCCAACAAGCAAAAAGTTAATTGCAAAAAATGCAATGACGGGAGAAATCGCTGTTACAAAAATAAACCAATTAACCCTTGTGCGTTTTCATAATTCTCTGAATAGGAAATTTTAGGGGAGCGATTCTTCCTTCGTGTTCTGTTTAGGAGAGCAATTCATAGCTCGCCTCAGGTTGCGAGGGGAGCGTGGAGGCGAGCGCGAGCTATCGCTCGCCTCAAACGGCCAGGCCTG